GCTGAGGCGGAAGGATCGCCGGAGCCCAGCATGTCGAGGCTGCGGTGGCCGGGAGCGGCCCCTGCACTCCAGCAGTCTGGGCGACAGTGAGACTCCAACTCAAAAAAAAAGAGAAACCAAAGGAGTTGTTATGGCACCAGAAGATGAGACACAAAGAGGGGCAAAGCCAGTTCTCTGTGGGCTCCCAGAAGTTAGCTAGAAGGACAAGCAGCCACCTTCCTCACAGAGGTCTCCCTCCCATCCAGCTCTGAAGGAGAGCAGGATTCATACAATGCGCCTGATGTCACTGGAATCGAGAACAAAGTATCCCTTTGTTTCCACTGTACCTGCTTAGCGATCTGCCTCATGAGTGTTTGGCGGCACCACCTGAGAACACAACTCGGAAGAGTTAGTATCTTGGGACAATGGTGCAGTTCTTGTGGGAGCTCAACTGATCATCCTACGAAGAGACCACCACTCCATCAGGAAGCTGATTAACTCACAGGTGGGCTGAACGTCAGCCACGATGCTGGGAAAGAATGAAGTTTGATAAAAGTCACAGCAAAACTGGCTGGGCTCGGTGGCTCAGCCTGTCATCCCAGCACTGTGGGAGGCCGAGGCAAGTGGATTGCCTGAGCCCACGGGTTCGAGACCAACCCGGGCAACCTGGCGAGACCTCGTCTCTACAATACATCAAAAATTAGCCAGATGTGGTAGAGCACGCCTGTAGTTCCGGCTCCTTGGAAGGCTGAAGCGGAAGCATCGCCGGAGTCCAGCAGGTCAATGCTGGGGTGGCCGTTGAGTGTGGCACTGCACTGTAGCCTGGGTGACAGAGTGAGACACCAACTCAAAAAAAAAAAAGTAGTCACAGCAAAATCTTCTCCATCACATCTGTCTCCTTGCTTCAACCTCTTGGGAGCCCCCAGTATTCAGAAGTGATGGGGATGGAGTCCCTCACGGGCAATAAAATCAAAAAGAATTAGTATTTTCTGAGCACGTGCCAGGGGCCAGGCACCGTGTGGGTTTCTCTGTACACATCGCATTGTTCCCTCAACAACCTGGTGGTGAGGTAGTTAGGTCGGGAGACTGAATGTCAGAGAAGTTATATGGTTTGCCCAAGGTCACACAGCTAGTAAGAAACAGAGCTGGAATTCATGGTTCAGGTCCCCTGATCTATAAATCTCTTAGGCAGCATCGTATAAATAATGAAATCCCAGCTCTAAATTATCAGATTTTTGACCAGGGCCCCTGAACTCAATTAAAAGAGGTCAGATGGGCGGTGACATCTTTCTGCTGAACTGAGCCACACTGCTTTCACCCACTGGATACACACAGTAGGCACTCAATAAATGATTACGATGCTGAACTGACCTAGAGGAAAAAGGCTGCTGAGGACCGCCCCCATCCACTGTGTGCTGAGAGGAGGGGGCGGCAGAGGACCACCCTCCCAACCTACTTTCCCAGGTGACAATGCTGTCTCTATTCTTGTCTGACTGGGAGGCAGCTACAAGATAGTCACACACACCAGGATGCTTTGAAGTGCAAAGGACAAAGAAACCCAGGGAGAGCCCCAGGGAATGGGTGATGACCTCAGATGCAAAGTATGTAGTGAGCCAATTCTGGAACCTCAGCGAATTTCACAGACTAAACAGTAAGAGATGGGGGGAGCAAATGCTTGGGACCTGAGCTGACAGAGCGAGCAAGGTTTCCCGGTGACTCCTGGGCTCACAAGAGAATCTTTCTTTGCTAAGAACGTACTAGGAATAGAGCAGCAAGCTGAGAATGACCACACTGGCAGCATGGCACATTCTGGCAGCTCCTTTGCCTTGGGCTGTTGGTATTCCCCCTGTTTCTGGATTCATCCTCAAAGATTCTGAGATGGAGCAGAAACTGGGCCCTCTCTGTTAAGAAAATCTGCAAGGAGGTGTTAGATAAAGACTCAGAGACCTCTGCAGCCAAAGACATCTGAGACAGGAGGGGCCCCGGGCTGGAGGGGAGGCTTGCACAGTCTCCAGACAGTTTCAGACTTAATTGTTTCAGACTGGGGGGAGGGGACGAGCAGGGAGCATGAGAGGAGAAGAAGAAATAGACATTAATGAAGGAAAAATAGCCAAGGCCACACTAAAAATACTTCCCGGGCACAGAGTTCTCCCAATGCATTGCAGCTCTTTCAATTAAGGATATGTCATTTCCTGGGTTATTAAATCCAGATCATGGAACATTCCACTCTGGGACAGTTATGGAGGGTCACATTCTCAGCCACCCGGGCACCAAAGGAACGAACAACAGGGATCACACCCTGTCTCCACCAGTCCTCAACGAGGGGCTTGGGAGCTTCCCTTTTGGGTGTGTCCTCGGAAAGATTGGGGAGCCCAGCAAAGACGCCCTTCTCAGGTATTTCAAATGCCCCCATGGTCACCTGGTATCATTATCATCACCTCAAGCCAGTAAGGCCCTGCAAAAAGCAGAATTGCGGGCCAGGTGCAGTGACTCACACTTGTAATCCCAGTGAGAAGCCAAGGCGAGAGGACTGCTTGAGCCCAGGAGTTCAAGACTAGCTTGGGAAACATAGTGAGATCTCATCTCTACAAGAAACTTTTTAAACGATCTGGGCATAGTCTACTCTGGAGACTGAGGCAGGAGGATCACCTGAGCCCAGGAGGTTGAGGCTGTGGTGAGCTATGATTGTGCCACTGCACTCTAGCCCAGGCGACAGAGTGGCTACTTTGCATTGGTTACTAGGGTAAATGTCCATGCCTTTAAAATCTTCTAAAGCCAAAGTCACAGAGGAAAAAGTCTGTCCTATAAGACTTGAAGAAATTTAAAAAGAAGTCACAGTGTCCTCTCTCTGTTAGGCACAGGAACCTGTATGCTGTGGGTGCCCAATAAAGTCTGTCTCTCTTTTGGGGACAGTAGGGACTATATGCACAGGATAGCTACCAGGCCCTTGGAAAGGGTTCCTGCAAAATTTCTCTCCAAACATTTAAGGACTTTGGGACTTCCTCTATCTTAACCTCTTCTAATCTGCATTGGAAGCAACTGACTTGCAATTTAATTCCCCTAAGAGTTGGACAGATTCTTGTTCAAGGTGAATGGGGAAGGAACTGAACAGCAAAGCGGGCTTCAGAGTTGAAACAAGATTGATGACTCCAGGTGGGAAAGACCCTCAGCGCTCAGACAAGTTTGGACCACATGCTGTTTTCCAGCAAAATTTAAATGTCACCAACATTTAAAAATCAGATTTCAGGCTGGGTGAGATGGCTCAAGCCTGTAATCCCAGTACTTTGGACGGCTGAGGTGAAGGGATTGCCTGAGATCACGAGTTAGAGAACAGCATGGGTAACTTGGCGAGATCTCATCTCTACAATCAATCAAAAAATTAGCCAGGCATGGTAGCACATGCCTCTAGTCCCAGCTACTTGGAAGGCTGAGGCAAAAGGATCACCTGAGCCCAGCAGGTCAATGCTAGAGTGGCCGTGAGCGTGCCACTGCACTCCAGTCTGGGCGATGGAGTGAGACTCCAACTAAAAAAAAAAAAAAAAAATCAGGAGATTTTAAAAAGAGACTTTCCAGCTGCGTGCAGTGGCTCACATCTGTCATCCCAGCACTTTGAGAGACAGAGGCAAGAAGACTGCCTGAACCCATGTTTCTACAATAAATTAAAAAAAAAATCAGCTGGGCACGGTGGGACGTGCCTGTGGTTCCAGCTACTTGAAAGGCTGAGGCGGAAGGATCGCCTGAGCCCAGCAGATTGAGGCTGCGGTAGTTGTGAGTGTGCCACTACGCTCCAGCTTAGGCAACACAGTGAGACTCCAACTCAAAAAAAAAAAGAGGCTTTCCAGCTTCTGTTTTAATGAAAATGATCAGCAGAAATGGGAACTGTTAGGCCTGCACATGGAAGCTGGCTGGAGCCAAGGAGTAGCGTCCTCACTGGACAGGGCATACACAGTCCAGCTGCCACCAGCCACTCTGCCCCTCCTTGTTTGCACTCAGAGCTCTGTGGGGTTTTCTTATCCCTTCTGCCATCTCTGCACATTTGAGTCAGCCACTCCTAACTCAGTCCATCTCCCTTCACCCACAGAGAACTGGCCCCTCCTCCTCAAACCCAGTTTGAGGAGAACCCAGAGAACTGGCCCCTCCTCCTCAAACCCAGTTCCTTTGCCTAGGGCTGCTGGTATTCCCAGTGTTTCCAGATCCATCCTTAAAGAGTTTGAGATGGCTAGGCATAATGGCTCATGCCTGTCATCCCAGCACTTTGGGAGGCGGAGGCGAGAGGATCACCTGAGCCCAGGGGTTCAAGACCAGCCTGGGCAACTTGGCGAGACCCTGTCTCTACAATAAATAAAAAAATCAACTGGGCATGGTGGCACATGCCTGTAGTTCCAGCTGCTTGGAAGGCTGAGGCAGAAGGGTCGCCTGAGCCCAGCGGGTCGAGGCTCCGGTGGCCGTGAGTGTGTCACTGCAATGCAGCCTGGGCAACAGTGAGAATCCTACTCAAAGAAAAAAAAGGAAGAAGATGGCAATGACCACAAAAATTAGGACACCAATAACAACCGTTAGCAAGGATTAAATGATTTGTTTATGCCTGACACACAGCTGGGCATTTTCCACGTTTACTCTTATTTTTACAGCCACCCTACAAGGCAGGGGATATTATCCCCTTTTTAGATACAACAAAAATGAACTGAGAAAGTATGCGGCTAACGTAGACATTTTTCTCCCTGGGGTAGTGCCTGGAGAGATCAGGTCCTCAAGTGCAAAGTCCCTCCCAGGGCAGGACTGCGGGGCCTACTTACGGTCTGCTGTTCACCTCCTCCCCGCTGGCAGCGGTCTTTGATTCCAAGGCGTTATTGAAGCTGGAGATGTTTTCAGAAGAGTAGAGGCCAGCTGGGTTGTTGTACTGGTTCGTGATGACCCTAGGGGCGGCGCTGGAGGCAGGCGAGGCGGTAAAGGGCATGGCACTCCGGTTGTGGGCGCTTCCAATGTGTAGGACCTCCTGCAGGCAGGGATCAGAGGAGAAATCAATAGGGGTGTCCCACGCACACCTCTCGAAGGACCGTGCAAGCTGAGTGCCAGCTGGAGGTGTTTCAGCTGAGCTACAATGGCTCTGGGTCCACCCACACTTCAGCTGAGGGGCCCTGAGGATGGGGGAGGTCTCCCACGGTGGGCGCCAGGGCGACCTCCCATCCTCTGAATCAGCTCCACCTTCCGATGCATCCCTGAATCCCTTCCCCCCAAAGTCTGCTCTCCTCTGGACTGCCCAGGGCAGGGCACCCCTTGATGACTTGGGTTGTCAGGATCCAAGTCAGAGGAGCTGAAACACCCTTTCGGAGCACATTCCAGAAGGATTAAGGAAGTAGGAGGAGACGAACATGCAGCCACACGGGTCAGTGCAGAGCAGAAGATGATAACATGGGGAGATAAATTCTCCGGAAGTGAGCGAGCTGGACCAGCAAGACAAGAGGATGTGGGGGCAGCCACTGCTGACTGGGCAGGGATGATCTTGGTCCCACAGAAAGGGGGGGCAAAGGGGATCGAGGCTCTTGCTTCTTATGGGAGAAAGACAAGGCTAATCAGACAGAAGGTCAAGGGGATACCTGTTACAGGGGCAGGACCCAGCAGAGCTGCAGAAAAGGAGCTCATTTCCCTCCTTCTGTAATTTAAGAAGGCACCCTCCAGCCCTGCCCTGGACCTGGCTAGGAATCCAGTAGAGAATTACTACAGTGACGACATTGATGACAACCCAGAGCTCCTTTACAAACACCCCAAACCATGTTTTTGTTGGAGTCGGCACATTTAGAAATTAAAAAATAAAAACTTTTTATTGATTGATTTATTTTGAATGGGGGTCTCACTCTGTAGCCCAGAGTGGAGTGGCAAGCATCATGGTTCACTACCACCTCGACCTCCTGGGCTCAGGCGATCCTTCCACTTCAGTCTCACAAGTTGCTGGAACTACAGGAGTGCTTCACCATGGCCGACTAACTTTTTCTGATTTTTTTTTTTTAAGAGCTGAGGTCTTGCTATGTTGCCCAGGCCGGTCTCAAACTCCTGGGATCAAGCAATCCTTCCACGTCAGTCTCCCAAAGTGCTGGGAATACAGGTGTGAGCTACCACACCCGGCCTCAAAACACTTTTAAATTAACATTGCCTTTTATTTTATTTTTGTGTTGTTGTGGTTGTTTCAAGTTTATTTTATTTTATTATAAAGATGTGGGGTACAATTCAAGGTTAGGTATACAAACGTTGATTATGCAGGTACCCTTGTTGATGAGGGTCCCCTAGCAGGTTCCCTCAACTGCCAATCCCAACCCCCTGCCCTGACAGTTTCCCACTACTGCCAATCTCTTTAAAAAATCATGGCTTTTCAGTGACTCAGTCAGGAAGGTCCCATCTGCATGGTAGTTCTGATCAATCAATGGCTTTCAGGTCAATGCCTGCTCTCTGCAGCTTGCCTAACTAAGCATGTTTCATATATTCCCAGTAAATATTCCTAAACCACAGGTTCTTTCTTTTCCTTTTTTGGGTGGGGGGAGAAAGGGGTTCAGAGTTTTACTCTGTCATTCAGACTGGAGTGCAGTGGCATGCTCATGGCCACTGTAGCCTCAACCTGCTGGGCTCAAGCGATCCTTCCACCCCAGCCTTCCAAGTAGCTGGAACCACAGTCGTGCACCACCATGCTCAGCTAATTTTTTTTTTTTTTTTTTTTTTATTGTAGAGATGAGGTCTTGCCAAGTTGCCCAGGCTGTTCTCGAACCTGTGGGCTCAGGCAATCCTCTCCCATCTGCCTCCCAAAGTGCTGGGATGACAGGCATGAGCTACTTGAGTTCTTTCTTAAACGCCCAGACCTAGAACAGCTGCCCTCAAAAGAGTTCCTGTCCTCTGTTGCTCTTCTTTTTCTCCTTTGTTAAATCTTCCAGTCTGCCATGCTTTCCTTAAAAACATTATGCATGGGCCAGGCTCAGTGACTCAGCCTGTAATCCTAGCACTTTGGGAGGCCGAGGCGAGTGGATTGCCTGAACCCGCAGGTTCGAGACCCACCTGGCCAAACTGGTGAGACCTCATCTCTACAATAAATCCAAAATTAGCTGGGCATGGTAGCACGTGCCTGCAGTTCCAGCTACTAGGAAGGCTGAGGCAGAAGGATCGCTGGAGCCCAGCAGGACAAGGCTACGGTGGCCGGGAGCATGCCACTGCATGCCAGTCTGGGCGACAGAGAGAGACTCCGACTCAAAAACAAAAAATTATGCATGAAATCCAACAGCTTTATTGAGTACCTAATCTAAAATAAGACAACATGAAAACACTTTTGTGCTTAAGATTTCTTTTGCACTATTCAGCTGGACATCCTCTTCAACAGTTCAGAATCAGTGAGGTTTTATTGTATAAATTATGTTTGGCTGATTTTGTCCCCATTAGTCTGTACAGATAATTCACAAAAGGAGAAGTATAACTAGTTAAGAAAAAAACCTCAGCAGTAATCAAAGAACGGTTGAGTACATTTTATGGCTCAATCACCCAAGAGAATCACAAGTCATCATTAAAGGCCATGGTCCAGGAGACGGAGCAAATTTATGGATGGGCAGCCTGAGACTCTCGCCCACATCCGCTGCAGTGAGGATGACCATTCTTTCTTCCTCGTTCTATCTCCACAGCAATTCTTAGGAGCCTCTCAGGACACAGAGCACCAGGGAACGGCCCTCATTTTTTGTGTCTTGGCTCAATTTGTCCCTGAAACATCCTGTTTGGCTATGAGCACAGGATACCTCTTTGAGTCCATTTTTCATCTTTAAAGTGAAGAAAATAAAGCCTTCTTCACAAGGGCCTGGGGTGACCTGTCAGTGTGTCAAGCACCATGCCCCACACACACTTTTTTTTCAAATGCTTATGCAGAGATAGTTTATTTATTTATTTATTTATTTTGAGCTGGAGTCTCACTCGGTCACCCAGACTGGAGTGCAGTGGCCGCTCCCGGCCACCGCAGCCTCGACCTGCTGGGCTCTGGCGATCCTTCCGCCTCCGCCTTCTGAGTAGCCGGAATGACAGGCGTGCGCTACCACGCCCCGCTGATTTTGTGATTTTATTGTCAAGATGAGGTCTCGCTGCCCAGGCGGGTCTCAAACCCGCGGGCTCAGGCAATCCACTCACCTCAGCCTCCCAAAGGTGCGGGATTACAGGCTGAGCCACCGAGCCTGGCGTTCATTTTTTATTTATTGTAGAGATGAGGTCTTGCCAAGTTGCCCAGGTGGGTCTCGAACCCGCAAGCTCAGACAATCCACTCACCTCAGCCTCCCAAAGGCACAGGATGACAGGCTGAGCCACCGAGCCGGCTGCAGAGAGAGTTTATTATCATTTAAAAAATTATTTCCAGGCTCCCTCCCTCCTTTTTAGAGGGAATGCAGTTCTATTTGGAATATAATTCAGGATTGGACCCAGCTCTCTGATTTATGCAGTAGGACACACATTCACAAACCTGCCTGGTCTACTTTTATATTTCAGCAAGGGCCTATGTGCAGCTGCTGTTTCTGGCAAAATAAAAAGGAGTGGAAGTGAAAGGTAATCAATCACAAAGGGCGTTCATGTTTTCTTCATCAGATCCATGGGATCGTCTTCCATTCCTTTCTCACTCAGCTCATCTAAACTGCAGTATAGGTGAATGATTTTCTCAGCGGTGACCACCACGACCCGGAGCCCATGGGTGTCTCTGCCCAGTTGGCATCTGATGGCTGATACTACCATGTCGAGGTCCTGGTAGATGCCCCCAGCATTCCTGGGGTAGTGGCCTGAGAACACAGCTTTGACACCTGCTTTGGTGAGCTTGTCTGCCATCTCGTTCTGGACGGACTGCCCCACACATAATCTCCCTTCACAGAAACACACTTGCAGTTAGAAGGGAAGTCCATGGAAAAATCCAGGTTGAAAATTCTGATTTCACTCTACAGAGAATCCTTCAAGAACGCATCTGGTTTGTACATAAAAGGAATACCTCTACTCTCATATGAATACCGGTCTTTCCAGAAGGGAGGCAGATTCAGGGTTTGCCTCTGGGAAGAGATGATGTAATTGTTTGGGCTTTATATTTATCAGTCTCCAAGGAAACTCAATTATGAGGAAATACAAACGAGGTGTGTAACTAAGCTGACCTCAGATAAGCTGGGGTGTTGGTTTGCTTTACATGAACTAACAGATCCTTTTATTATAGATGAACTCTGCTCTTACTCACTTGTCTTCTATTTTAGAATGGCTAGAAGTGGAGGATTTTTTGAAAAAGGAGGGGTGGAAAGTTTTTCATACGAGTAAAGAATTACTGGAACCACAAGAAAAATACACTCGTTAAATTTTAAGGTATTTGAGAATTTTTTTAATGTGAAGAGAGCTACCTTCAAAAGATTAATAGAGGTAACTAGACTATAAATTTAAGATGAAAATTTAAATATAATACAAATAAAAAGTATAACTGAAAAGTATAAGATTATCTTATTTATGCAAAAACTAGGATTTTAGATAGACCAAATTAAAATGAAATCATTCCTTATGTTACAAAATGTGTAAAGATCTAACAATTACAATTTAACATGTATAGTAAATTGAACGAAGCGGCCGAAAACTCCCAGGGAAACTGAAATTAACTGTGGCATGTTTTATATTAGTTTGCACAACTGCCAGTTTAGAGACTGAAAGTGCCATTTTATGAGTTTTTCTGAGACGAGTTGTTTACAATAGGTTCATGCCAGTTTTGAAATGGTAGACGTAAAATGATCCTTAAAGTGGCTTTGTGATTCTAAATAATGATTTTTACTAAATTAATGGAAAAAAATGTATGTGATTGTATTTCTGAAATTATAATAGATTCTATTTGAAAAATGACACATCCAGCCATTCGATTAACACACTAATGTAATGAGTTCAACTTCATGCAAGTTTCTGTTCTACATATAAAAGACAGCCAGCTATATGTTATCTTTTGATTATATCTTGATTCACCATAAACACTAAGTAGTATCCCAAATTTAGAAAAAATAAATAAATTTCAAATCTTCAACCGGGGCTAAATGTGTAACCGTCACAAACCAGTCTAAAAATTTCAAAAGCCCTTATCAATTTACTTCTTAACTTATCATGAATAATTCAGTAATATACCCAACAGACACATACTTTGTGACAAGGAGTATGCTTAGGTGTGAGGAGTCTTACCAAAGGTGTTGTGACCATTCTTCTTTAAGTTTGCCTTCCTTATTTCAAAAAGAATACCCATTCAAGGTAGATTATTTAGAAGACACCAGTAAGGAAGAAAGAAATCTAACTACTGAGAGACTTATTTACAAATATGAGAACTTATATAACAGTCTACAGCCCCCGGAAGTCCTATGTGGCCGGCAAGTTATACATGGGCGACCTACCACCTTTTTCGACATTAACTGCCACTTTATTTTAGTAATTTTAAAGTCTCACTGTAGGTCTCACTGTCACAAAAACAGAGATTTTGACCTCAAGGGCTCATGGAAACCGGATAGAAGAGAGAGACAGGACAGGTCTGTCACAAAAATAGAGATTTCGACCTCAGGGCTCATGGAAACCAGAGAGAAGAGAGAGACAGGGCTTATTATTAAGTTTCCCCTCATTCCCCTCCCCTTCCTTGGGGAGAGGAATTCCCTCCTTCTCTCTCTCTCTCTAATTTATTTCTAAATAAACTATATTTTCTCATCTAAAAAATAAATAAAATATCCCCTTATTTCTTCTCGACCCTAGGCGGCCTCGGGACCTAAACTAATGTTCATCTCTGGCATGATTTGTCTGTATCTGAAATCCACAATGATCAGAGTGACCCCCTCCACTACGCTCCTGGCTCCTGCCAACCATGCAGGAAGGCTTCCCCCGCTTCCCTTCCCTCCTTCCTACCTCCAGCTCCCAGCCCCGGCCTGCAGCACCACCCTGGGGTTTTCCAGCCTTTTCCTCCTGCAGTTCCCTTACGGGAAGGACTGAAAACGTGCCAGATCCCAGCGGTGACAAGGAGGGCTCTCCCTGACGCCTAATCCCCAGGCCTCAGGGCAGGAACAACAGCTCCTGCTGAAGAGCATGACCAGGGGAAGAGTGCTGGGTGGTGAGGTCAGCGGCCAGGAGGAGCAAGCACTTACTTGGGGTTCGGAGGCTAAATTCATCTTGTACGGATGACGCTTTCCTTCCTCCGTCACCAGAGGAGACCAGACTTTATGTTCAGACCTGCAATGGATTATCATCACCGTTGTTTCATTCATGCTAAGTACTAATATGTACTAAAAACAGATGGGGAAATGTCCCCTCTGGTCTGGACTACTGGCCTCTGAACTAGCACCGACCATCAGCCCACCACCATTTGCCACCAGTGTGATTTTCCAAAGCCCCCAATGTGATGACGTCCATGCCAGAGGGTTAGGAGTTAGGGTTAAGGTTAGGGGCTTCCCCAGATACTCAGAATTCCTCCAGCCCACCCTCCCTCATTATACTCCAGGTAGCTGACACCAACAGCATACCTCCCTCTGTGTTCCTGAGCATGCCTCACCTGCCTGACCTCTCCTCAGGATAGAATGGACTTCTCTAATTCAGCTCAGTGTGCTTGATCCAGACCAACTAACCAACTTATTTGTGACCTCTGTTTGGCCCAAATGAAAGTAATGCCTTCTGGCCAGATGCGGTGGCTCGGGCCTGTAATCCCAACACTCTGGGAGACGGAGGTGGGAGGATGGCTTGAGCTCAAGAGTTCAAGACCAGCCTAAGCAACAGAGCGAGACCTTGACTCTACAAATATAAAAATAAAAAATTATCTGGGCGTGGTGGTATGCACCTGTAGTCCCAGCTATCGGGAGGCTGAGGTGGAAGGACCACCTGAGCCCAGGAGGTTGAGACGATGATGAGCTGTGATTGTTCCACTGTGATCTAGTCTGGACAACTGAGTGAGACCTCACCTCCAAAAAAAAGAAAGAAAGAAAAGAAAGTGAAGTCTCCTTTTTTGAGCTTGTGGATTTTTTTTGTACTAATCACACCAGCAATGATCTTAATCTAGGCTCAATTTTCATGAGTGTGGTTGTTTCCTCTCTTGCTGGTAGAGAATATGTATACTTATCTTTGCCTTGTCAGAGTACCTAGCACAGAGTCAGACATACACACGATGTACCTGTTCTGTTTGTTGGTAAAAGAACCAAAAACCAATGAATCAATGTATGTCTTAAACTAGGGCTTGAAGGAGAGGATTCAGACTGATAAAAATGAAGATGAGGAGGCCTGGTGCAATGGTTTACACCTGTAATCCCAGCACTTTGGAAGGTGGAGCAAGATTGCCTAAGCCCAGGGGTTCGAGACCAGCCTAGACAACTTGGTGAGACCCTGCCTCTATTTTAAAAAATATAGCTGGGCACAGTGGCTCATGCCTGAATCCCAGCACTTCGGGAGGCAGAGGCAAGAGGATTGCCAGAGCCCAGGGGTTTGAGACCAGCCTGGGCAACTTGGCAAGACCTCATCTCTACAATAAATCAAAAAATTAGCCAGGTGTAGTAGCACATGCCTACAGTTCCAGCTACTTGGAAGAATGAGGTGAAGGATCGCCTGAGCCCGGTAGGTCGAGGCTGTAGTGGCCATGAGTGTGCCACTGCACTCCAGACTAGGCAACAGAGTGAGACTCTTACTCAAAAAAGAAAAGAAATGAAGATGAGCATGAAGAATCAATGTGCTTTTGGGGGGTGGGAATAACATGGCACACCTCTCGTGGGCGTGGGGCTCTGAAATGTACAGAACATTCTGACATACTCTCCAGCACTTGGTCCACCTGCCAGTCCTGTGGCACGAGACACAGGAAAGGGATAAACACGCTTCACAGATAAGGATCTGAGCAGAAAGAGCAGTGGCAGGTAAGGTCGGTGAGACATTAAAGGCCAAGTGAACAGATCATCAGACTGAAAAACCTGACCTCGGCCCAAAGGAAGCAGGGAGCCACTGAAGCTTGAACCAAGTCACTCCTGAAATGGAGACTTTGCAGCAGCACCCCTTCCAGGGTTCCAGGAAGGAAGAATGGAAATTCTACCCTAATCACAGCTCCCAAGGCAAGGTCCTTACTCCTCCTTTCTGTCCCAGCTGTCCTTTCTTACAGTGTGCCTGAAGTCACACGCCACGCTGAGGCTGATGTGTTTCTGTTATTGCAACCTCCCCGCATGGCACTCAGGGCTCAGCACAGCGCAGTGGGAATAGCCCCCTAAGGAGATTCTCAGCGTTTCCCAGGAAGAACTACTCATGGCAGCTTACCTGACAGTACTTGACTGATTTTACTTACTCGGAATGCTGGTTAGTTGTGTTGGATCAAGTAAAAATGCGGACATCTTAGAGAAAGAAGCCCACGCTCATTAGAGGGAAGCAAGCAACCCAGAATTCCAATCCCACAGACCTTTTGGTGGTCCTGCGGCATACATGGCCTCAAGCTAGGGGTGTGGGGGATTCCGAGATAGGGAAGACAGCCCATGCCTATAGGCAGCTTCCAGTCCCTCAGAAATGAACACACGTTTCCCCTGGGCCTCACCTGGCCACTGTGAGAGTCATGTTGTCTGTGCAGCCCTTGATTTTGTTCTGAGCTTCCAAGTGCGTCATACTGCCGGTATTTTCCCCATCGATGGCTGTGATCACATCTCCGATACATAAATTAGCTATAGCGGCCTTGCTTCCAGGAGTGATCTAGGAAAAAAGAAAGGAAAGAGCAGGTTAATTACTGTCTGTCTCCAAGGAAATCAATCAGCAGGTGGAGTAGTCACTGATATGGATCAAAGCATCAAAAAAGAAAAGGGGGCTAGCCGGGCTCGGTGGCTCAGCCTGTAATCCTGCGCCTTTGGGAGGCTGAGTTGAGTGGACTGCCTGAGCCCGTGGGTTCAAGACCCGCCTGGGCAGGGAGACCTCATCTCTACAATAAATCAAAAAATCAGCCAGGCGTGGTAGCGCATGCCTGTAATTCCAGCTACTTGGAAGGCTGAGGCGGAAGGATCGCCAGAGCCCAGCAGGTCGAGGCTGCGGTGGCCGGGAGCGGCCACTGCACTCCAGTCTGGGTGATCGAGTGAGACTCCGACTCAAAAAAAAAAGAGGGCTGAAGCTGTCAATTTAAATAATAAAAATTTTTATATGTATATCATGTGCCGTCATATACAAAGAGTGTTTTTCTATATATGTAGGATCTCACTGAATCCTTACAAAACAACCTTGTGAAAAAAAGAGGACAAATAATCAGTCCCCACGTTAGAGACCAAGAAATTGAAGCCTAGAAAGATCTGTGACTTATCCAGGATCCCCCAACTAGCATATTATTCTATGCTAGTCATCTAACCAGTATATTACTGAGCCAGGGCACAAACCCTGAATGGATGCAGTGTTCTTCCCATTGAACCTTGTTGCTTCCTTGAAATAAGTTACCAATTACGTTTTTAACAAAATACACACACATTTAGAAAACATTATGTACAATAACATCCTGTTCTTAAAATTATTAATAATTGGCCAAGCGCGGTAGCTCAGTCTGTAATCCCAGCACTTTGGGAGGCCGAAGCGAGAAGATTGCCTGAGTCCAGGGGTTCAATTCCAGCCTGGGAAACTTGGTGAGACCTCGTGTCTACAATAAATCACAAAAACTAGCCGGGCGTGGTGGCATATGTCTATAGTTCCAGCTACTTGGAAGGCTGAGGCGGAAGGATCGCCTGAGCCCAGCAGGTCGCGGCTGCGGTGGCCATGAGCATGCCACCTGGATGACAAAGAGTGAGACTCCAATTCAAAAATAAATATATTAATAATTGATATATGTTATATTATATGCATAGAAGAAAACTGGAACACTGCACACTACATTGTTCAGTTACACATCCCTATAATACACTTGTTTTTACAATAAGATTGGATTACTTTTTAACTTGAAAAATGTGTAAAGCAATAAAGAACATTATAAAGTACAGGTTTAGATTGGACACGGTGGCTCAAGCCTTTGGGAGGCTGAGATGAGAGGACTGCCTGAGTCCACAGGTTGGAGACCAGCCCGGGCAACTTGGTGAGAGATCTTGTCTCTACAATAAATCAAAAAATTAGCCAGGCGTGGTGGCGTATACCTGTAGTGCCAGCTCCTTGGAAGGCTGAGGTAGAAGGATTGCCTGAGCCCATCAGGTCGAGGCTGCGGTGGCCGTGACGTGTCACTGCACTCCAGCCTGGGCAGCAGAGTGAGACTCTGACTCAAAAATAAAAATAAAAAGTAAAGGTTTAGCCGGGCTCGGTGACTCAGCCTGTAATCCCGCGCCTTTGGGAGGCTGAGGTGAGTGAACTGCCTGAGCCCGCGGGTTCGAGACCCGCCTGGGCCACTTGGCAAGACCTCATCTCTACAATAAATAAAAAATGAGCCGGGCGTGGTAGACGCGCCTGTAGTTCCAGCTATTGGAAGGCTGAGGTGGAAGGATCGCCAAAGTCCAGCAGGTTGAGGCTGCGGTGGCCAGGAGCGGCCACTGCACTCCAGTCTGGGTGACAGAGTGAGACTCCATTTCAAAAAAAAAAAAAGTACGGGTTTATAATACAGGTTTATACTGGTTCATACAGGTTTATATTGGTTCATACCTCCAAAATGATTGGAGTCATCCCATGTAGGCGGTTGATTTCCTGAAGGCTGTTGTTTCTAAAACAAGTGGTGCCAAATTTACAGACTCCTGATGTTTAGGGGAAGCCAGCCGATGACTGCAACAGGTCCTCAAACTCATTTGTCTACTAAATATTACATGTGGACTGAATAAATATCATGTCTCCCACACAGATGTACAACTATTTTTCAAGTGAATACAGATGCTATTATAATAAAGTCCAAACTCATTCTGAAGCAATGCTAACCTCAGAGTAACCTTTTGCTATTAGGTATTTTCAAACCGAGGCAAACTAAAAAATATTACTGTCAACATCAGGTAAGGCCATGATTTTTTTCTTCTTCTTTTTTTGACATTAAAAGATCTTCTCGGCTGGATGTGGTGGCTCATGCCTATAATCCTAGCATTTTGGGAGGTCTAGGTGGGGAAAACTGATTGCTTGAGCCTGGGAGTTCAGACCAGCCTAGGCAACATAGTGAGACTTTATCTCCACAAAAACTCAAAAAATTAGCTGGACATGGTGGTGCATGTCTACAGTTGCAGCTAGTCGGGAGGCTGAGACAGAAGGATTGCCTGAGTCCAGAAGGTCAAAGCTGGGGTAGGCTGTGATTGTGCCACTGCACTCCAGCCTGGGCAACAGGGTGATACCCTGATTCAAAAAACAAAAAGATCTTCCTGGATGGGAATTCCAAGCCTCCCAGAAGCAGAATGGCAGTTAACATCTCCAGACTCCCAGTGCCAACAACTGGGCTCTGGCCTCCCTTGTAGAAGGCCCTTGACTCCTGGAATCTAACTGAGGAAGATCTTGTGAACACCTGGATATCTTGTCAAGGCTGGACCACAGGTAATAGGTCAGAACCTTCAGGACACACTTCTTGGGCCCTAAACCTTTATATCTGATGCAGCTAGCCAGGCTCGGTGGCTCAGCCTGTAATTCCGCGCCTTGGGAGGCTGAGGTGAGTGGATTGCCTGAGCCCAAGGGTTCGAGACCCGCCTGGGCAACTTGGTGAGACCTCATCTCTACAATAAATTAAAAAATTAGCCGGGCGTGGTAGCGCACGCCTGTAGTTCCAGCTACTTGGAAGGCTGAGGTGGAAGGATCACTGGAGCCCAGCGGGGCAAGGCTGCGGTGGCCAGGAACGTGCCACTGCACTCCAGTCTGGGCAACAGAGTGAGACTCCGACTCAAAAAAAAAAAAATGCAATAAGGAAGAGAAAGAAATATCAGCGAGTAAATACCTTCAATAATAAAATCTTGTATTATTTAAGCATTTGTCATGTTCAAATTATCATATTGTTACAGATTTGGTGAGAGATGGAATAAAAGAGATATACACATACCTATTCTTTTTTATTTTTATTTTATTTATTTATTTTTTGAGTCGAAGTCTCACTCTGTCACCCAGACTGGAGTGCAGTGGCCGCTCCCGACCACCGCAGCTTCAACCTGCTGGGCTCCGGCAATCCTTCCGCCTCAGCCTTCCAGTAACCGGAATTACAGGCGCGTGCTACCACGCCCAGCTGATTTTTTTGATTTATTGTAGATGTGAGGTCTCGCCAAGTTGCCCAGGCAGGTCTCGAACCCACGGGCTCAGGCATTCCACTCACCTCAG